ATTAATAAACGTTTGTTAAATAATTGAACAGAAAAAAGGCATAAAATAAAGTTTAAAAAAGAGATAATGTAAAAGAAAAGAAACTAAGAGACAATAAATAGATAAGCCCAAAGCAGGAGGAAATCATCAGTTATGAGAAGGGCCAGAATAAGAATGAGGAGAGGATGGAAGGGAAAGAGGCAAAAGATGGACATGGTGGGTGAGTGATCGTAGAGAGGAGATGGGTGAACGTAAATACATAGGTTCCTTTCTGATTTTTCTCTTTTTACTTTTAAGAACAAAGCAGAAAATGCTGGAAGTCCCAAAAGTAGAATATATATGTGGAACTGCCAATGTTAAGCATGATATGGAATTAGGTGCAGGAATGATATAGGCCTGTGATGCATGGTCCAGCCACCTGGGAGATTGCCAGAAATGCAGAATCTTGGGTACCACATCAGACCACCTGAATCAGAATGGACAGTTTAACAAGGTCTCCAGGTGACTCCTATAGACAATCAAATTTGAGAAGTGCTAATGCAGGTATTTGAAATCCATGAAGAACCTCCACACGTCACTGTCGTCAATTATGTGGTGCACATAGTGCTGACACTAAGCAGCTACACAACCATAAGCAGAAAACTCGATGACCCTGAATCTCGACTTCTTCATCTATTAAATGAGAAGGTCAGAGTACACACCTTCTAACGGGTCACAGAGCTCTGATATTGTTGATCTCATCTAGCATCATAACTTCAAACTGTTCATGTACCAATGAGAACAAACAACAAATAGCATCATCTACTAATTTAATATTTATCCATTCGTTTAATATTTTAACTATCTTTTATGTGCCAGTCACTGTGCAATGATTCCAACTGATAACACATCCATACCTGCCCTTGAGGGGCTCACAAACTTCTTAAAGAAACAGGGCATGTTAACAAAATTAGGATAATGTGTACTATTAACTGCAAACAGGTGCTGGCGGTGCACAGAAGGCAGAGCAATTATTCTGCTTGGGGCAGTCAGGGAGGATTTCAACAAGGGATCAGCATATGCTCTGTCTAGGTCCCTTCTCTGACAACTTCAGCTGAAAGTACTAGAAAGTGAAAAGACAGAAATAAGGTATGTAGTTGGAGAGTAACAAGGAACCAACCAAAGGTTCCTGAACACACCTCTCTTGGGTTCACAGGACCCCAAGAACACATCCACCTAATGAATCTTGTGTAATGGCTCCAGACATACCATGGACAGCCACAGGTAAAGCTCAGAAACCTGCCTCCTTTGAGTGATGCCTGCTCCCTCATCGGTTCCTCTATGCTCTGCGTCCCTCCAAAAGACAATATCAATTCAACCGCTAATCTACTCTCCCTGGAGACTTCTTGTGGTTGCAAAGAGGGGATGCTCTTTAATAAATGCAAACAATTCATTAGACCAGTAACTCTTTTGATCTATACTTATCTACAGAGATCCGATTGTATGCACAGTGTCAGAGACTGGAAATGTAGTTGACGGAAAGGAAGAAATTTCTAGAATGCTAAGGATGGTGTAGGGTAGTAGTGAGGAAAAGGAGCTTGTTCACTCCTGACCCCAGCAAGTTACAGGAGGTGAGGTGTTCTGTCAGCCCCAGGCTTCACTGTTAAGGAGAGAAGACTATCATTCAGAACAATAGTTTTCCAACCTTTAGATCACGTTTCACCCTGGCTCCCTCCTGGTCCCTGGCTTCTATAGGCAGATTTGTTTGCTATGGTTCCTTTCTCCTGACTCCTTCTGTATTTCATTAATATTCATAAATATTAATGAAATTTTTGCTTTAACCTGTTAGTAGTAGTGGACATGTCACCTTCATTTTTATGTTTTTAAACAAGAAAATAGGGGGTGAAGTGGGGAATCCTGCATCTTGAATTCATCATATCCATGGAGGAGATGGGAGAATGTTTTCCAAGTTAACGGTGATGTGGCCAAGGGCTGGATCAGCTGGGTCCTTTCTCCCTATCAAGAGCCACTCATCCCACCAACCAATTCCAGTCCATGTTTCCACCTCCCAGGTGCCCACTGTCTCTCCACACACAAGGCTGGGTGCGTGTACATGAAGGTCAAGGAAGATGGTCAGTCTGAAGCCATCTTTCTGGAGGTGAAGCAAGAATACAAAATCAAGGTGCCTGCTGTTCCTCCCTTCACCAGAGGAAGTCGCTCTTCTCACTCAGCCTAAATAGAAAGGCACTGGGTGTGCAAAGTAGTGACTAGAGACAATTTTTTCCTCCTTTTCCTCTTCTGTCATTTTGTTTCCTTATTATTCTTCTTGCCTACATTCACCTCTGTCATAAATTACACACATATAGTGGCAAAGCAAGACTTTTCAGACAGGCAGGCTTCCTAGGGATGGAACCAAAGGAAAGAAGAAATTACACAATCCAGGGGTACACATCCTGCCCTCTCTTTGCATGCTAACATCTACCTCTCAGAGACCATACTGTTCTGTGTTCACCAGTCCATCCTGCTTTGCTACACCTGAAACACGGACATAGAAGACAACCATGCTGTTCTGATTTCCTTGAAATCACCAATCTAACCTCCTCAACCGTGCTTTCCTGGGAAATCTTTATTTCCCATTAATTTGTTTCTTAATTGTACATCTTGAAAGTTCCTCAATTAATATTAAATGTTCTCTCTATCCCTCCCACCAGCAACCACATCTCTTCCCCTTGTAACCCACACTGTAGGGGAGGGGGCGTGTGAAGGAGAGAAGACAAAATAGAACCCAATCAGCTCTTTGTGCTATGAGGAAAAAAGACAGAACAATGGTCCCGAGACAGCCCAGAACACCACTGAGCACACAAAATCTGCTCGGGAGGACAGGAACACCTTCCTCCTCTCCAGGGTCCCCAAAATGGCTTTGGGTGTGGCAAAGGTACAGACCACCTGTGGGGATTCCTCCTAGGATCCTCAGAAGCCCTTTCCAGTAGGAATTCCATTCTTTTCTCTTTGTAGCTTTCTCATCTTTTGGTCCTCCTCTTCCTCAGCACCCTCTCCTTTTCACCTCTTGTCCTTTGCCTAGTCTTGGGGCTGACTAATGCTGCCCCAGAACCTGGCTTCATCTCATTAACAACCAAGGCAAATGTGGCTGAGACCCTGTCGAAAGGACTTCTGTCAACCTTATCACCAACTAACGTCACGAAAGGCCTACTCAGTGCAGAGCACTGTCGTCAGCACCAAGAATGCAGAAGAGGGCAGGTGTCCTTTGATACCCACCTCGCCTTGCCCACCTGCACCTATGAGATCAGCACACCTGAAGCTGTGTTTCTCACCCATACCTCTATTCTATTTTGAAGTAATTTTTAGAGTTCATCCTCCCACTTGAAGGAGTAGAAACAGATGCAGAACCAGCCCAGGTGTCTCTAAGGTGAGCACACATCAGATAACCTCAGCTATGTGTGGACATGACAAGAACATGGTTCAAAGTGGGATCCCACCCTCGCACTCTGATGACACCACGGTTACAGATTAATGGTTAAGCCATCAAGGTTCAAAGGAATAAAACCAGGGGCAGGGGAGTAGCACATTTGGATCACATCCATCCTTTTTGGACAATGAAGAACTATCTTCTACTGTGATGCTGAGAAACAAGGACCTTCCGCTACTTCCCCCACACCCCTTCAGTAGTTCAGATTAATTTTAAGTATTGTTATAAAAAAATACCAAAAAAAAAGATTTGGGGGGGGCGAGAATACTTTAAGAAAGATTATTGATGCTAATGATTCTACTACATTATTTTGAGGATCTTTATGTCAACCTGAGTGCTGCATTTGGGTGCCTTCAGAGTTTGGGGATATATGGCCAGTGGACCAAGGAGAGGAGCAGCCAGCTCACTATCAAGGCCCTTCGGCACATGGATATTCTGATTTCCTCAGGAGTTGTCTTGGATTACATGAGTGACTAGCTGAGGAGTCACTAGCTAAGTCTTCTCCATTTCTCCTGCTATTTCTCTTTTCAAGTGCATGCAAATACTGCCAAACCCCATTTCACATATCATAAAAAATTATGAGAGGAGGAAAAATTAAAGTATGAACTCTGTTCTGAGGGTACAAGACTCACACATGCAAACGGCACATCTCTTTGTTTAACACAAAGGCTCACGTGTCGAATCCTGCACCCCTTCCACATGCACAGCATTTTAGAACTCTGCAAGATAGCCATTTTGCAAGAGTGTGGAAGTAACAGTTTGCTTGGAGGATGTGTGGGTATAAATAGATGTGTAGACAGAAGGAGAAATTTATAGCTCAAAAATAATAGCACATGGAAAAAATACAAATTAAAAGCAGAATATTGACAGAATTCCTTCTTTCCAAGCTTCAGGTTTAAGTCCTCTTAACCTGCAGCATTCTTCAATTCCAGGTGATCTTAGACCAGCCAGATTCCCCACCTAGACCTGCCCCTCTGCAGTAGGCCTCCCAGGATCTCTGGGCCTAATGTCAACCCCTTAGACAGCAAGTGGACTTCGGGGCAATAACCACAGTGATCTCAGTCATTATCTTCATGTTTAAAGGGCACAGAAAGGATGCCCTGGAAGACAGGACCAGGAGATAGAGAGAGAAGCATGGAAGTGGCAAGGGGGAAAGTGGGGCCGGGGGGAGATTTCTAGATTCCCATAAAATCAGAGCTTTAGCACTGGATGAATAAAATGACATTTAACTTGAAAATCACACAGGTTTCCCAGTCGTGACTGCATTAAAAAAAAAAAAGAAAGAAAAACCCTTATGCCATTCAACATCCTCTGTTCCTATAGACATCCACCCCCACTGCCTCCAAAAAACCCAAAACCTGTTTGATAAGGAAGGAAAAGAAATAACATGGGAGTTTTCCCCCTTTGTAATAAGCCTGTCTCCCCAGACCAGCATTATTTTATCGTCGTGTTACCTTTTCTTCAAAAAAAAAAATCCACTTGAGGGACTTGAAGAGAGATAAACAAAGAATCTCTTACCCCAGGTGAGAAGAAAATACAATAGAAGGTGCCTTACCTTGGTTTGTAGAAGCCAAACCTCTAGACGATCGGATTAAGGGAGTGAGCATGTTGGGAATGTCCAAGCTCCTCTTCTCGCTTGCATATCCACATAAGAAAGATGAAGGATAAATGAAAGGAAGGTAATTTAAAATCCAATTTATCGTGAATTTTGTTTGAATCTTGTGTCTTGAAGAGATGCAAATTCAAAGAAAAAAAAGATTGAATTCAAAGGTAAGTCAGTGGATGGAGAGCAGCTCACGATGCAGAATCCAGAGTAATTATTCCCTTTGCATGTGAGGTTGGTGGCTGGACTATTTTTTTTTTTAATGATTCCTCTGGCAATTACGGTTTTTTGATTTTTGGAGCATTAGTGGAGGAGGCTGTGTGTAGAGAAGCTGGGGGCCAGCTCTGTCCCTCCTCGGAGCATGGTCATTCCCAAAGCGTCCCCTTCCTAAGGGGGAAAAAGAGGCTGTTAGAGGGTTTTATTCCAGGATCTCCCAGAGGGTGAGAAAAATGCATTCTGAAAAAGATATCAATTCGTTTTCAGGAAAACGGGGTTGGAAACCCCGCATTTCCCACAGAGTGCACACGAGAGGAATTGAAAACAGCTGGCACCGGTCTATAAATAATTCAGAAAAGGTCTGGCTATACCATTCCTGGGACAGGCATGGATGAGAGGTGGGAAAGCCAGGCTGAATGGAAGCGGAGAGAGGGCGGGAGGGAGGAAGCGAAGGAGGGAAGTGGGAAGGCAGGAGGCAGCGAGGGAGAAGCGGTACCACATAGCAACGCACACGCACACACACGCAGGAACACCATCCCCACTTAACTCGCCAGCGAGTGCGGCCCCCAGCCCCATCTGCATTGCTGCTGACACGTCTGTCTCGCTCTGCCCATCGCTTCCAGCAGCAGTGCCTCCTCCCACCCCGGGCTGGTGCTGAATGGGTTCTGCTTGTGCATGGGGTGCACACTGGGCATTTCTTGGAAGGGGCACACTGACACGCGCACACACACGCCCCCGGCCGCGCACGCGCCCCGCGCGCGCTCGCACACTCACCCCCCGCGCACACTCACGCCGCCGCACCGATGTGCAGCACGCGGGGCTTCACCTGCAACGTGTCGATTGTACTGATGGTCGCGGCGCGTGGCTCCGGCCCGGGGCACCGATGCCCAGCCTCTCTGCTCAGTGAAAGGTTTACCCCCTCCCCTCCCCCCCCCAAAAAAGACCAGAGAGAGCCCTACCCTTTCATCCTAAAAAGAAATCTTTTTTGTTTAAGCCACGTCCAAATTAGCAATTACCGGGTTCTGCTGGATTGTAGAGCTTTACCTAATACCAGGTTGGTTATCGGTTCCACTGCTTCGACCCTTTATCTTCCCGACACCCCAAACCCCCAAATTAAGACAAGAGACTCCAAAGCCAATGCTTACATACCGGCTCTGAGCACCTCGGCGATTGCAGTCTCGGGAGAGGGGTGGCCGGTGGCGGGGGATGGAGGGTTTTCCTTGCCTACCAGGCAGGATTAAAAATCCGTCTTGAGGGTTTTTAAGTTCATGGCTCTTCTTTGCACAGCAGACGAAAATGCATTCGGACGCCAGCACTTCGGGTTGGGGTGATCAGAAATCACCCTGGCGAGCACTTGCGATAGAGCAAAGCCCCGAGATTTCCTAGAGGTGAAGAGACAGAAGGAAGCGGTTTTGAAAGGGGGTGGGGGACCTTCCTTTCTAAAAAAAAAAAAAAAAAAAGGCGGGGGGTGGGGGGGAGGTAGAGAGGCAGGAGCAGAGATCCCAGTTGGTGAGGATTGGAGCCGGGGGAGGGGAAGCGGGCGGGGGCAGGCTGTGCAAGTCAAGCGCGCGGCACTGGGAGAGGAAAGGGAGGAAGGAGGAGGGGAGAGTAAGAAAAATGGGTATTAATCACGGGGATGGTAGGGAGGGCGCGAGATCACAGGTCGCCTGGTCTGGATTAGGGTCTCGCACTCAAAAACATGCCCCCTCCCCGCCCCCCCCCATCACTACACACACACACACACACACACACACACACACACCTACCTACCTCTCACACACTGGCTCTGGTGGGAAGAGAAACCCACGAAGCCATGGAAGATGTTTCTGCTCCCAGGGTGTGTGTGTGCGCACGTGTCCTCATTCTCCACACCCCCCACCCCACCCCACCCCCAAACCCCTGCACCCCCTCACTCCTATTGCTAAGACTCTGGCAGTGGCAGCTTCCCCACCTCAGGTGCTGGGGGAAATGGGGTAGGAAGCGGGAAGAAGGCTTAACCCGAGGCCGTGGCGCCTCCTGCTGGCCTCAGTGGGAACAGCAATGAGGAAGGGCTGCTAAGGGGTGGGGGGGAGGAGTCAGTGTCCCTGGAGGGCTGCGCTGCCACTGGGCTGCCCAGAGCATCACAAAGGCGGAGCTGCAATTTAAATGTAAGACTCCCTTTATGTTCCATAAATCTGCCTTTGCTCCGTACGCACATCCAGTGTTTAAAGTTTAAAGCCAGGTTCTTGCCTTCAAGGAGCTTAAGATCTATTTTGAGTACATGAGGCTGAAGCTTAAAACAAGGGAAACAAAGCAAGGCAGATGTAATTAAGAGCTACATTGTATGGTACAGATCGTAAGGGCGCTTTGCCGTCTGCTAGTGAAGGTTTGAGGAGCTAGGGATTTTTTATTAAAGTATGTTCTGTTATTTAAAGAACCTGAAAAGATGAGACAGATGAATAATCCCTAAATAAAACTAGATTTCATGACATTTACAACTCCACCCTCTTGTAAAAGGCAAACATCCATTCCTTTCTCTCCCTCTTAAGCTGTTTTCTATTTTAACAGCACTTACCACCACCTGTAGTATTGTTTATTGTCTACATTAATATCATTGTTCATGCATCATTTTTATGTTGCTGCATTGTCTCTTCAAAGATCCAGAATATTACAGGGGTGGAGCCTTTTCAGATGGGTTACATCATGAGCTTCTCATCAACATACCTGAGAAGCAGCCATTTAGATACACAGGTAACAATCCTAGTCAACTGGGATACATGAGATGTGTATTGCAGTCCTGACAGCAGCCACAATACATCTGAACTAATGCTTTCATGTTTTCTAGTTTTTGTTAGTCTTAATCTTTGAGTCGAAATTTTTAAGACACACACAGATACATTAGCATTACACAGAACACAAATATAGCTCTGGCTGGGTAGCTCAGTTGGTCAGAGTATTGTCTGGATATGCCAAGGTTGTGGGTTTGATACCCCATCCTGATCCCACATACAAAAAGCAATCAATGAATGTATAAATAAGTAGAACAACAAATTGATGTTTCCCTCACCACCACTCTCTTTTTTCTCTCTCCCCTTCCTCTCTCTCTCTCTAAAACCAATAAAATTAAAATTTAGCCCAGTGGGCATGGCTCAATGGTTGAGCATCAACCTATGAACCAGGAGGTCACTGTTAGATTCCTGGTCTGGGCACATGCCAGGTTGCGAATCTCCAGTGTAGGACATGCAGGAGGCAGCCGATCAATGATTCTCTCTCATCATTAATGTTGCTATCTCTCTCTCTCTCTCTCTCTGAAATCAATAAAAATATATTTTTTATTTTAAATTTAAAAAAACACACAAATAGAGTGTTCATCTGAAAATTAGTCTATCTCAGTAACGGTACTGCTACTGCTGTTCTTCCACCTCTTTGGAGAACTGCAGAATCACCCGAGTTGCTGTGCCCCTTGGTACACAACAGCCAACCCAAGGCCCTGTCTGCGCAGGTTTCTAGTGATTCCAGGAGGAGCATAGGATGCAGAGAGCAAGGGCCCATGTTTCCTGAAACACTTTTTCCTGAGTCTTCCAGGAATGCCCATGACCTTGGGAATAGAATCCAAGTTCCCTCAAGGGTCCACCTTTAATCCACTTTTTAAATTAATCCCCTAGCTCATATTTCCCTTCTTATCCCCAATTACCTTCACCAAAACTGGACCCTTCTTTGCTGTTTTCTTTTTGCTTCCCTTTCTGGACCCAGCAATTCCATTCCAGCCTATTCTCTTTTGCAGAGGGAAGAATGAACTCTCAGACCCCTCTCCCTAATTAAGTCCACACTCTCCTTTAGTTTCTAGCTCAGTCCCACTTTCTTGAGGATATTTTTTAGTCAACCACGCCTTAATTGATTTCTCTGACAATTTCAAGGATTTTAAAAGGAGGTATGGCACTCACCACCACTTCCCTGATTCCTACCCCCTGTGTTTGGAAATCATGATCAGTTATCAAATGACTGGGTGATGCTACTGGCATGTACTAGTATGATCCAGGCACTAGAGATGCTACACATACACACCTGCATTATGAAGAACTGGCCAAAAGGAAAACAACACTTCCATAAGCTGTTCATGTTGACCCATATGAAACTACTGGTAGCTAATCATATAAAATTGCCAATCTAATAAAGTAACCATATTGGCCTATAATAAAAAGGCAATTTTTATAAACTTAAAATTGTATTCTTATGAATTTAAGATATATAAATAGACCTGCTATGTTATCTATGTATATATTTCCAGCAACTGGCTGTTGGTTCGCAACCTCTGAAGTTCCCGGGTTGAAATTTGAAATTGGCCCCCATATACAAAGGGCAAGTAGAGACCCAAGAAAGAAGGCAGGCCACTCCAAATTGGTAGGTGGCAGTGTGAGTAAGCAAGGGAGCTTATAGACAAGGCTTGTCTCTGGCGGTTGCAAGACAAGTAGATCTCTGCACCCACCCACAAGAATCTCAGGAGTTTATACAGACGCCTTAACAGGCTTCAGTCACACATACAGTCAGATGGTCTCAACCATACTTTACTCTCTCAGGGCTGCATCCTTGAATCTGCGCCTAGAGTAGAAACACTGGACGCAAGGTACACTCCAAAGACAGGGAAGGGGGTAGAGATTGTCTGGGTCCAGCTCCCCTGTCAACAGGTAGCCACGTCTTTTCAATGACCTCCTCCAAAACAGGCACAATTCCAGACACGCTGTGGAGGCTCAGTAAATGTTAAGGGTTTGTTTGTTTCTTTGTTTGGGGGTTTTGTTTGGTTTTGTGTTTTAAGGTTTTAAAATGACTATTAGACACCACTTTCCCAAGCAGTCTTGCTGATTCTAGAAGAGCTCATTCTCCGGGACCATGCAGCTTGTGAGTGGAAGGTGGTAGCTTTTCTCCATGGGATCCATTGCCCGCTGTCCATT